AGCACAGATATCACATAGCAGTTCAGTACTCTTTTCTTTGTTAACAACGAAACCCTACTGTCTCGTAATACTCTGTCTAGCTTTTGGAATACTTCTTCGGATTTCAGCGTTGTTACTAATATAGTACTATTTATTATATGCAAGAGAAAATATAACACACACAGGTGCTACAATAGTATGATATTTACTGAGGCATTTGTGAGCTAGCGTAAATGGCGATGCACTCATTATTGCTGGAAAATGCTCAGGAAAAACGATGGCCTGTTTATTGTTTTTTAATGACATCAAATCAATTTACAAACATTAAAATCACTATTTGATGATTTTTTATCATTTGTATAAAGAATTGTTAATGATTTTTAACACATAACCAGTTCACTGTTCACTGCCTTTAACCCTAACCTTAACTCCTACCCCAAACCTCTAACATATTTCATACTTCCAACAGTTGGTAAATATTATCATACCAACAGAAAATGGACTATGGTGTGTATGTCACCACGAAATGTATCTTTATGCATTAGACATCCGATAACATCACTTACTTAAACCCCTTCCACCCATCTCTCCTAAAAAAATCTCCTCCTCCTCATATTAAATTCTGCTTTTTTTTGTTGTTTTTTGTGTTTTCTTTTTTTGAATTTAGGTCTGATGAATTGATCGTATTTATTGATTCCAATGGAATAAATTATGACCATGGAATATTAGTGTTTGCCTTTTTATTATATCGCTCTGTCCTGGACATTGAGTTCTACCTAAATTCTTCCTCTTGAATTTTTATTCTAAAATATACATGTATGGTATTTATATATTTTGCATATGTATGTATATTTACCACTAATATTATCTATCTAATCTATCTATTCTCTATATATATATATATATATTAGTCATCCACAGACTGATTCGCTGTATCAGAGCGAATCACTGTGGCTAGACATCCGATTACCTCAAGCCAGGGTCGAAACCTGACTGATTTGGCATCAGTCGGAGATTTTTCCTCTAAGCTATCAGCTTCCGACCGAGAGGAAGGTGATTTTTTTTTATGTATTTATCTTTGAATAAACACGCCAGTGACTCAGAGTGCTCGATTCAAAGAAGAGCTTTGCACTATCAACAGTAGCAGTCGCTGTTTACAAATTCGCGCTTTCCCGCTATAGAGTGCTCGACCGAATTTTATTTTGGGCGGGGCGAGTATATATAATTCAAGCGTTATTTTTTTAGCGGATAACCGTGTTTGAAATAGACACAGTTTTTTTTTAAACAATGTGTATTACGTCTAGCGGCCTGGACACTCGAGAATTCTTAATAAAGAAAATATGTTACCCTCTAGGATTCAAACCTGCGTCCTCCTTTGTAGGAGAAACCACCATTTGATCCAGCGTGTTTTAGAAATTGCTTTGTTTACGTTTCGGATACGAAATCGGGAAGATATGGGCTTTCAAGAAAATCTCAACGAGGTAATGTGCAATTTCTTAAAAGGGGGAATAGTCCCTTGCTGCGCTATGACACTGTCCGGGGCCGAGCGGTCTAAAACGGTGATTCTTAACCTTTATAACCCATGGACCTCTTTTACTCTTAATTTTTCTTGTGTGTCCCACGTCCATAAACATTCGATGAAAAAAAGCTTATTTTATTTTTTACTAATAGATAAGTTTAGGAATTGTATTATAGAAATAGTAAATGTATTTATTTTGAAGTAAAACTAATTTAATGAAAATAAACTTGTATTTAACAGCTAAATTCTATGGAACATTTCTGTACACGAGTAAAAAAACTCATAATATACCATCTTTAAATGAACACTTGTGGACCCCATTAATGTCACATGGGACCCCAGGGTTCATATGGACTCTGATTGAAAAACACCAGTCTAAAGAATCAAACGGTGGGGCCTCCTACAAAGGGAGACGCAAGTTCGAAATCTGCCGGAGATGACAATTTCTTGTTCGAACCCTGTTGGAGAACATATGTTCTTGCTTCAAGTGTGTATGTTGGTAGACATAAAACACCCGTTTTAATATATATATATATATATATATATATATCAACAACAACAACAGGGTGTCTAAAAAGGTCATATTAAAAATAAATTCATTTATTCTTTAGAAATAAGATATATTTGCAAAGAGAATATAAGTAAAAATCAAAATCATTATGTATCTCAGGAATTTCAGTAGTTTCTTTCGAAAACTAACTATACCAGTCTAAATAATTGGAAAATATTTAGACTTTCCTGTTTTTGCACGGTAAAATATGTTGCTTTTAAAGTTGCTACGTTTTGCCACATTCAGTATGATAAGCAATTGTTAACAAATAGAAAAATATTTTCAAAATGAATCCGAGATAATAAATATGACTAGACGCTGAATAATTCTCAAACAATATCCGGTTAGGATTTGTTCAAAGCCAAACAATAAACAAATACTCCATAATGTCTGTGAGTTGGTTTTAAAGGGGAATCTGTCGTTTTGTAACTCTCCACGGGCAACAGACCGTTTGTCTCTTTCGTCTGTTTGTGCACAATAATGCTGCGGTCGAAAGAAGAAATGAAGAAACTAATTACTTCCCTTGAATTAGTCGGTTTTTTATGCGCCATTTAATCTGTAACTGCTACATGATCTATGTCCTTCTGTATGGCCATGAGTGCTAGACGATCTCCTCAAAGATGAAAAGGAGACTTGAAGCAACAGAAATAGGTTTCTACTGAAGGATACTGAGGATACCATGGGCTGAACATCTGAGCAACGACAAAGTTTTGGAGAAAATGGAAACAAAAAAGAAACTAATACTTAACATCAGGAAGAAACAGTCGAGGTTTCTGGGGTAGATAATGAGGAAGGAGGGCTTGGAAAATCTGATACTCACAGGACAGAGAGAGAGAGAGAGAGAGAGACAGGGGGAAAGAGAAAAGCAGCACATAACATATTTAGGGAGTTTGAGTAAATGGATGGTGGAACAGGGTTTAGGAGAAATAACAGAAAGACAATGTTTATTAAGAGAGTCATGATCACCTTCGTTCTGAGGAGACCCGGAACATAAAGCAGAATCTGTATTTTACTTTGCGAGTTTTTATTAAGGAAGTTTTAGAAAACCCTTCACGGAGACAAATATGAAGACTGTTTTTTTTACACGTCTAGCTTAAATTGATCGATATCCAAACGGATGCAGGTTCTTTCATCTCGACCTTCGTAAAGAGTGATTAAGCCATCTAGTTTTGTATCCATTTATCTAGCTTGATAAAACACGAGACTGGTGTGCTTGTCCAGTTTTTTTTTTTTACCTGTCAGTTATGTGCCATGCGTGATACATGCTTAGGTGGCCATTTCTTTCTGCGGTAGAGCAGTTGCTATCTAAGGCTATAGAACCCGGTCCATCCTGCTATTTACCCAGGAGAAGAAGAGTATTCATACCTTTACCAAGGGTATTAGCACGTAAGTGAATGTAATGGATTCGACTTGAATTCGAACTCGGCTCTACGATTCCTCAATCCGAGCCGCTATCCATTACTCCATTGTGGTGTGCTAATAACCTTTTTGATTTTATCCCCATGTAAGTTAACATGGTCAGTTATGTCCCATGCGTGATACACGCTTAAGCGATCATCTATCTTTTAATGCATGACTGACGAGGCAGTTTTTTTTTCCCGCAGTAGGTTGCTATTACTTTATGCGGTAGACCAGTTGCCATCCAAGGCTATGGGTCCGTCCTGCTATTTACCCATAGCTGGTGGGAGAAGAAGATTCATACCTTCCCCAAAGTTATTAGCACGTAAGTGAATGTAATGGATTCGATTGGAATTCGAACTCGGCTCTCCATTATTCTACCGATCAAATTTGCAGTGATTACATTGTTAAGCTGTTCGTATTCATCTATATTCAGCCTATAACCATTATACTTACTGCAGCACGAGTTGAAACTGAGGTCTGCTAAGTGGTGTAGGCCTATTTACTATCGGGATCTGCATCCTAAGCATGGGCGTTTGAATTTGATTTCTATTCTGACAGAGACGACTCAATAACAGGGTACGTCATATTACATTGTTAAACATCATTCTTTCTTTTTTTAAACACTTGTTAGCGACATGAGACCCGGGTTCTGACCATGAGACCAGGGTTCGAATCTCACCATGTTAGACTTGACAGGAAAGTGATTTTTTGAAGTTATCCCTTTGGAGGAGTCGATCCTTTGGAAAGTATCTGAAAACCATACGACAGGTTGTCCCTAGCATTGTGAGGGAAATTGGGTAGATGGAACCCTTGGGAGCTGTCAGTGGTTGAGCTAACGCAAAGTCACAAGTCATCATGACCGAGGGTGTGAGCGTGCGGGCCTTGTTCAGACTGTTGATCACGCTAGATAACGCTTTCTCTCCCAGAAACTTTAACTAAGGTCCGCTCAACATAATTGTAGTGTAAACCCCAGGTAGGCTCTGTGGGTGCTGAACAAACACAAATGTGCCTGAGCAGGCGTCTACAATGAGGATCAACTAGCCGCCCTGGAAGACTGGCATCCTCGGATTTGAATGGCTGCGCCATTTACTTATGTTAGCGACATGCATCCACGAAACGTACAGAGATCGATCCTCATCAGGAACTCCATAAATATCTATTTCAAGATTAAACCGATCTTTTAAGTAGGAATATCCTTTTTTTTTTTTTTTAGATTAATCGTTTTTCTTTGTCGAAGATTAAAACCATTTCGTAGTTTATTTAATTTCAGCCTGATATAGTCGGTATAAATTAGTTGCCTGTCTTTGTTTAGTGGCATATCAACACCTCTATGGGCTATTTAATACCGAAATCTAATATTTTATAGGTAATTTTTTATTTAAAGATACAGGTTTTACTAATTAACCCATAGCTGGCGGGACAAATGGATTCATATGTCTCTCAAGGGTATTTGCGCGTAAGTGAATATAACGAATCCAACGGGAATTAGAACTCGGCTCTCCGATTAAAAATTACGATGTATTATCCATTACACCACCCGCACATCCAGGCTAACGGCTTCTGGTATTCCCAAACGGTCACTTATCTAGCTACTGACCAGGCTCAACGTCGCCTAACTTCGGTGATCATACGGGAACAGGTCTTTCAACGCGAGTCCAAATTTCAATATTGTACGACTCAACATGAAGAGATTTGGCTGACAATTTTGACTAAAACAAAAACAAACTGAAGAGTGGGAGTACAACTGAAATCATTTTTCACAGATTTTATATCGTCTGTGCAAAAAAGATAAAAAAAGGTCGACACTTCTTGTACGTCGTATTGTGAACCATGAAAAAAATTGTTTATTTTGTGGGAAATTTGGACTCAAATGTAATAAAATTCAGTTTCATGCAATCTGATGTACAAAATCGTGATGGTTAGACATCAAATGTACTGGCCCAATATTTTTATGCAGACAGTAAAATCCAATATGACGTTCTCCATCATTATCAGTGCTGTTTCGATTTGAAGGTACATTGCAAATCAGTATGATTTCTCATCTTCAGCATGTAGTCCTGGGTATGATGATAAACTACAGCAAGGGCTCTAATCAGGAGATTAGAAGTTTTGGGAAGCGTGGAACTACCTCTTAATTGCTATTGTTCCCAGGTCTACCCTGGGCCGAGGTAGTAGCACTAGATAGGGCCCCAGTTACGGGTAAATAGTTACCCCCAAACCGAAACGCCATGAAAGTATAAAAATAAATTTTATAGTAATATATCAGTAATACATGTTTATATATATATATAAAAAATCACCAACAAAACCTATTTAGAGTAAAATTATCAACAATACATCAATCAACATGAAAGAACTCTTATGACATTAATTCATATAATATCCGACAATTTCTTAAAGAAATCAATACCTATTTATAATAAAAATTACCAACAACATGCACTTACTAACAAGTTGTAGGGGTTTCAATCAAATTCTTTTAAAATACTACCAAACAACCAACTTGAAAGGACTTGCATGAAATTAATCCATATAATATCCATATAATATCTGATATAACATTCATATAATATCCGATATAATATCCATAAAATATCCGATATAATATCCATAAAATATCCGATATAATATCCATATAATATCTGATATAATATCCATATAATATCTGATATAATATCCATATAATATCCATATAATATCCGGTAATTTATTAAAGAAATCAAACTGTATTCGAAAATATAACTTCAACTACAACACAAAACACACATATCAATAATTGTCAGTAATTATGTCCACACAAATATTATATGCACAAAACCTGAGCATCATCTACCATGTATTCAACTGTGAAAGCAGAATAACATATATCATATTTTATTACTTCAAAGCTCTCAAGAAAATTAAATTTCAGCATTAAATGACCCATAAAAGTGTTATGCTGTTAAACAAATCAAAATCGAAAACATTACATTCGTTACATTTCGCAGAAATATTACTTGAAAAGGCATGGTTCCTTTCCTTACTAGTCATGGGTTAAACAGTAGGTTTAACAGAAAACACAATTATTTTTTATCATTTCACCTCAAGTAAGGCTGGAATTTCACTAGCACGCAGGGGGTTACAGAGAGTGAAGTTGAGAGAACAGACTGGGTACAAGTGGGACCAAGGTAAGCCTAAAATCTGAACGGGGTTAAAGAAGATAGAAGATGGTGATTGATGTTACATTTTTGAAGATTGTAGTTATCAGGGAAGGAAGGAAACGGAAGGGAGTTCCACAGGCGGGAAGTGCGAGAAAATAAACTACTGGAGTAGAAGTGGCAGTTACATTTAACTAATTCAACAGTAAAAGTGTGAAACCCAGATGCTAATCTAGTCTTTTCTTTTTATGTGCCATGTCCTTTCAGCACGTAGGCGATCATGGCTCTCCACCTCCTCTATCCCTTGAAGCTCTCGACAAGCTCCTTCCCTCTGCTTCCTCCCTCCCAGACCACGTTCTGTCATCCACTTAAGTCCGCCAAGTATGACACGCGTTGTTTTCCCTTGCCTCTCTTTCCCTCTATCCGACCCTTGAGTATCAGATTCTCCAAGCCTTCTTTCTTCATTATGTGTCCCAGAAACTTCAGCTGCCTCTTCCTGATATTAAGTATAAGCCTCATCCTTGTTTGCAACCTCTCTAAGATCTTATCGTTGCTCACACGCTCGGTCCATGATAGATCATCCTTCTGTAGAACCACATCTCCGTCGCCTCGAGTCTCTTCTTCATCTTTGAGGAAATCGTCCAACATTCGCTGCCGTAAAGAAGGACAAATGTCACGTAACTGTTCAGTATTCTTTTCTTTGTTACCGAAGAAATCCCTCTGTCTTGCAGTACTCTACTCAGCTTTTGAAATGTGTCCTTGGCCATCCCAATACGCCTGCGGATCTCAGTGTCACACTTACCGTCCTCTGTCATGACGCTTCCTAGATATTTAAACTTCACGTCTGCTTGATTCTAGTGTTCCCGACCTTCAGATCGCATGCTCATCGAGTAGCACGCTTAAATTCAATTCAAAACCAACCCGAAGAGGGATTGTCTCCGTCAGTAATTTGCATCTTGCCCGATCTACTGCCATGTGTGCACTCCATGTGGTACCCTGCCTCTAATAGGTTCCAGAACACGTGACAAGAGTCGAGCTATAGGGCTTCTTAGCCCTTATGCTCGGCTCTCGTATAAATATGAATCGAAATCATTTTGCAACTGATAGACCGCAAGGTTAGTTCAACATTTCTCTACGATAGCTATTCTTTTAGTCTTTTTTTTTTGTTTTTCCCAAATGAGTTATTTAGAATTGTATTTTCTTCGACAGCAAGCTTGCAAGACAATGTGAATTTCGAAGATTTCGTTGCTACAGTTTAGCGTTACAGAACAGCTTTGTTCTAAGCAACAATCAAGATTGAATAATTTATTTCAATGCCAAACGATTTTTTGAAAGTGATATTGTGGGGTTCTCAGTCACGAGATAACATTCGCCGATTTTACATTTCATTATGCAACGTTCACCTGCAACTCTACCTCTCCAAAAATGGCGCTGAATAAATTAGAATAAATGATCTCGTGGAAATCTCGTTCTCGCGGTCGGGGTTCTGCTTGTGAGGAAGTCGCATTAAAAATGCTAGAATATTTGTCAATCACAGATTCAAAATGGACTAATGATGTAACTGTTTCCCACATTAGTTCCTGCTATGTTTGATGGTGGCTGGCCGCTCGTATCCGACTATCCCAGCGTATTAGCTCGGTTATCCAATCCCTGTTGTAGCCGCCTTCTCAGGCACAATTTGTGTTTGTTCTACACCCACAAAGCCTACCTATGGTTCATACTGCATCTATGCTTAGCGGACCTTAATTATAGTTTCCAGGAAAGATCGCACTATCTAGTGTGATCAACACTCTGAATAAGGCCAGTACATTCAAACCCTCGGTCACGATGGCTTGCAACTTCGTGCTAGCACAACAATCGACGGCTCCCAAAAAGTTCTGTCTACCCAACTTAACAGTTGGACGTATGGTTAGAACGTTCGCTTTCAGACCATGAGACCCGAGTTCGAATCTCGTTGTGGTCGATTATCAGGAAGGTGACTTCTTGATGTTATCGGACTGGGGAGATCTCAGCGTTACGACAGTTACGACAGAGTAGAGAGTTCGATCCTCACTGGGTGGTCCACATTTTTGGCCTTGTGCCACATCTAAGCTGCACTTAGAAATTCATCCTAACTTGGCACATGCTGGGTAGGTTTATCCCAGTGTCGTCTTGGTTTTGTCCAGAGTGAAACTCAACTGCGGCCCTGTCTGGGGACGAAAAATAAAAATACTGAGAGTTGTCTGGTGCCGGGGAACAGCTACCCGCGGCAGTACATCCCCTCAATGCACTAGAGAGCTAGGGAATCGGTAGCCATATCGATGCCAGCGCAACCGACAGTGGGGGGGCTGGGGGTCAAATTAAACCCGACTGTGTGAGAAGTGGGGGTCCTAGAAGTCCTACCAGGATTTATTACTGGTGGTTGATTGATTGTAAATAAATAAAAGAAAAAAAAAAGATCCCATCAATCGTTATCTTTTTTTGTAAGCTTTTTACCCCAAGCAAGGCGGGAGTGCCACTATCACGCAAGGGGTTACAGCGTGGGAGCAAGAGTAAAGAGGCGTGAGAGAGGAAAGGATGACAAGAAGGACGGGGAATAGATCTAGACATCTGAAGATGTCGATTGACATTGCATTTGAATATTTGGATATTATAGCTATGAGGGAAGCAAGTAAGAGGAAGGGAGTTCTACAGATGGGAAGTGCTAGACATGAAGTTATTGGAGTAGAAGAGACGGCTACATTTAACCGTTTCGGCAGTGAAAGTGTGGGATTAAGATGTCGACCTAGTGGCTCGTTTATATTCAAGCAGTTTGGAAACTAGCGAAAATAGCTCATCGGAGCAGTTACCGTGAAAGTATTTGAAGAAAAGACAGAGGGAGGCGACGGTACGTTGTAAGAGAGCGACTGTAAACGGGATGCTAGATCAGGACCAACCACATTGCATATCTGTCTCTAGATTTTGTCGAGGACCCTAAAACGAACAGAGAGGGCACCAGACCATATATGACAGCAATATTCCATGCAAGGGCGAATGGTTGATTTATAGATTTTAAGGACGGACTCGGACGAGAAAATCTTCTTGGCGTGACACAGAACCAAATTTCCTTGCGGTAGATGAAGCTATTGATTCAATGTAATTGTTCCATCTCAGGTCACTGTGAGACCAAGCAGTCACAGAGAGGTGCTCTCATGGAGTTGAGCATCAGACATTCTAATGGGAGTCAGGGATGGTTCTCTGTGCTGAGTAACAGAGAGCAGTTTTGTTTTTGAGGCATTAAAGTTAACCAGCCAATATCTGTCTCAGTCAACAACCGATTGGAGGTCCTTTTCTTGACCAATGACCAGGTTAGTTTTGTCGTCTCCTGTCCTAATTCTTGTTCTTTTATTGTTCTCTCTCCTTAATAATATATTTTTCTCATATCCTCTCACACTCAGTAACTCCCTTGCTTCTTTTCTTGCCTTGTTTGAAGTGAAATGATTTTTAAAAAAAGGTAAGTAGTTATCTACTATGCCCATTCGACATTAAAAGTTAT